CCCCCCCACCCCCCCAGGGAGTAAGCTGTATTCCCTACTCTGACCTTGAAGGGAGTTTGTTTACTCCTCAGCTAATCAGAAATTATTCAGGCATGAATCCTCAAGAAAATTTTTATTGGCCCATTTCCCATTTTGCATAGAATAGCAAGCAGCAAGGAAAAGTAAATTTGAAAGTGAGAGCTAATTGAGACTTTACAACTCTTTAATGCTTTATTTATATATTCATCTGGCTTTTTGGAATTGTTTCAGTTCTGTAAATTTTTTTTTTTTTTTGCTGTATTCGATTATACTGAGTAGCCAAATGTATTTATTAAGGATACAAATGGGCAATAACTATAACAAAACTTTAGGTACCTCAATGTAAGATTATTTTGTAGATATATACCATCAATTTAGAACAACCCTCTGGCTGTTTGACTCATTTCAAGCTCTGGCAAAAGAGTTAGCAGCTTTCCCATGGGGTTCAGCCCTGAGTAGAATAGCGTCATTAGTACTGTAGTTCCTTTCTTTTGGTGCTATTAACCATTCCCGGGAGAGAGAAGGAAAAACATATAATGCCCATTGCTTATCAAGCTATGAGGTCAGTAAAAAATTATACCTTCTTGTTTTGAGTGCAGTATACTGCCACTGCTAATAAACTACATTCAAATTAAGACTCTAAAGAATAAAATAGTATTTCACGTTTTAAAAAGATTCATAGTGATTCCATTTTTGAAGACATGATTCTAATTGTAGTTTCCAAAATCAGTTATTTTTCATTTTGATGTTTTGTTTTCAAAGAACTATTACCTTTGTAGACTACTGGAAATTTAAATTAAATGAAAACTTGACACATATATATTTGACCTTGAACAATGTGGCAGTTAGGGATGCCAACCCCCAATGCAGTCGAAAATCCACATGTAACTTTTGACTCCCTAAAACCTTAATTACTAATAGTCTACACTACTTACTGGAAGCTTTATGGATAACATAGAGAGTTGATGAACACATTTTATTTGTTATATGTATTTTGTACTGTAGTCTTGCAATAAAGTCAGCTAGAAAAAAGGAAATGTTATTATAAGGAAATCATAAGGAAGAGAAAATACATTTACAGAATTTATTGAAAAAAGTATGAATATAAGTGGATCCCTGCAGTTCAAACCCATGTTGTTCAGGTGTCACTCCAAAATTAAATGCCACTCCAAATTAAAATGGGAAAACTGGAGATTGGAAGAAACAGAAAGAAATGAAATTATAGTGACACAAAAGCCTGAAGTTCTTTTCCAGGATTCCTTGAACCAAAACAAACACTTGGCAGCTCCCCAGATCGTGCTAATTGCCTTTTTGTGTATACATTTCCATATGCTGACTCATGGTTTGGGCTTAAAGTGCAGTCATTGTAACACCATTTGGAATATTAATAAAATATTCTTTTCTTTCATGCCTGCCTTGTGGAACTAATCGTTTCTGAAAACAAACTGTTACTTTATCTTTAAAGTATTTTTTAAATAGTATTAGTGTTGATAAAATAAAGACAAAATAGTTAAAGAACACAAGGACTGCCTTTAAAATACTGTGATAAGGGAACTGAGGTTAAAGACATTTTTAATCAAATGTATTGGGGTGACATTGCTTAATAAAATTATATAGGTTTCATGTGTACACCTCTATAACACATCATCTGTATATTGTATTGTGTCTTCACCACACCGAGTCAAGTCCAAGACATGTTAAATCCCCTATTCCTTCAGATGAGACTCATTTTGAGCGAGAGGCCTAGAAAGCTTAACCTTTTGTATCATGCTATGCCCAGGGCACCCTGACCCCCAGACCAAAGGAGCAAGACTCTCTGTAGATTCATTTCCCTTTGTCACAGCTCCACCATTTTGGTGTCAAATGCCCACTGTCCATATATGTCACTTTAGATATTAGAGCCATATAAATATATAGACTCCTGAGTAGAGTCATAGACTTTAAAGATAAGAAAGATCTTGGAACTCATTCTGTGAGTAACCAGAACTTGCTTCTCACTCACTGCACATGTGCTGTGCATCTCCCTGACACACACACACACACACACACGTGTTAGCTGTGATGGCCCATAGTCTGTGCCCCATGTCCTCACCCAAGCCAACTTCCAAGTCTTTAAACTTTTGCCTAAGAAAAGGCAAGTGGCCTTATTTAATATCTAGATATAATGATGCTTTCTCTGATTTCTTAAAACCCTTCTTTGACTAGTGCAACTGTTAATCTTATAATTTTACTGAAATGCATTAATTCTGTAGGTTGAAAACGTGGTATTGAAAGCCATCCTTTCATATAACATATTATGTATTCTAGACTCAGCATTCTTTCTGTTACCATGAGATATCCTTTGTCAGTGCTTTTAACGTTCTTGCCCCTATGTAATTAAACAGTGATAGCAAAGAAGGCTGTTTGCCTGTTGATATGAATGTGTGCAAAGGAGGAGTTTATATGTAAAATCCTTTTAAATCTTACTTGCTTAAAAACATATTGAAAGTTTTCATTATATCTCTGGTTTTCTCTTGCCTTATCATGTTAATAGCAGGGAACAAATGTCTGGATACAAAAGTAATTTGAATTGTGGTTTAGTGTGTATGTACTGCTTACATTTTCCATCTGAGTGCGCCACCACACTCTCCTACCCTGCACTGAAAAGAACAAGTCCTGGAGACCTGGGAGTGGGCTGGGTTCCTCAGCATGCTGTCCTCTTCCCTCTCCAAGATGAAGTCATCATGCCCTCCTCTCCTGGCACCACCATACGAGTACATTGCAGCTTTGGGCTTAATAATCTCTCTAGAACCTAGAAATTTATAATTTTGCTTAATGTGCTTATTGACTTTGGTCAGTGATAGAATGGTTGGGCTATAAAAAATAATGTCATGACAACATATTAATGACTGATTACTATGTGCATGTGCCATATGTTAATAAAATTTTAATGTAGCTGTTCCTCTTATCTGGGTGATTAGATGTTCTTTCTATGTAAGTCAACCATGAAAATAAAAACTGACTCATGTTCTCAGAACTTAATAAATATCAGGCATTTCTAAAATAAATGAATATCTGATTTTCAGATCTCTCTGCTTACTTTTTTTTAAATATATTTTTATTGATTTTAGAGAGGAAGGGAGAGGGAAAGAGAGCTAGAAACATCGATGATGAGAGAGAATCATTGATTGGCTGCCTCCTGCACGCCCCCTTCTGTGGGTTGAGCCTGCAACCTGGACATGGGCCCTGACCAGAATCGAACCTGGGTCCCTTCCGTCTGCAAGCCAACGCTCTATCCACTGAGCCAAACCAGCAAGGGCCTATTTGCTTACTCTTTATTAGGTGTACTATAAGTCAGAGTTTTGGAACAAAGTCGAGATCTCACTCTATAAAGAAATCAGGAATAAGGGTGAGGCCAGCTTAGAAGTCACGAACCAGATATCCAGGTTGCTTTCCTTTCCTCAGCCTTCCTTGGCAGCCCTGCAGCAGGACATGCAGGCTGGAAGGCTTTGTCCAGAGCTGTGAAAATATAAGCAAAAGACAGAAGGGTTAGCAGATCTAGGGGACACCAAGAACTGTTTAACTGGGGCCAAACTGGAAAGAAAGGAAAGTGAGACTCCCACAAGACTCAGACGTGGCCTCAGTGGAACCCGTAGCCTTCTCTCCTGCTGCCTTTCCTGTCCTCCACTCACAGGTATTGCAGCTGCCTCCAGCTCCCAGCTAGCCCTTCTGCTGTGTGTCTCCATGTCCACATTCTCCCTCTCTCCATTCTTTCCTTACGGCTTCTTACTTATCCTTCAAGAATCAACTCAGGACTCCCCTCCTTGAAGAAGCCTTTTGTGATCCTCACTGTGTTGGATCTCATGTCCTGGCTCTAGGTGCTCAGGGAACTCTACACACATTTACGTTGGCATTTACCACAGTCAGTTGGAATTACTTATGCTTAGATCTTCCTCTTCCGTTACACTAAAAGGTCTTTGAGAAAAGAGTGATTTATTCATCATAGCCATCTTGCAACCCAGTATCACGCGTAGTCCGTGGCAAAGAGTAGGCATTTAATAAATGCGCACCTGAACTAAAACCAAAATGTGGGTTTTCAGATTTCTGCAAGGGAATTGACTGGTCAGGAGAATCACTGACTTTATTCTTTATTTGAATTATTACCTATGTCTTGACAGTGTAAGTGGCTTTCCAGAAATAAACTGTACCCAAGAGTATGATCATGTTTCAGTAGCCTCTCTGTGTGTATGTGTGTGTGTGTGTGTGTGTATTTAGAACTTACTCTTTTTAAAGAGCATTTCTCCAAGATGAGAGGCAATCATTTTTGAAGCTCCTGCCTTTGACCCCTTTTAAATTTGAATTACATAAATTTGCTGACATTTTTAAGCATAGATTAAATATGTCAGGGAATGAGTAAATCCTTAGAAAATATACTTAGGATATAGGTAAAATGGTATGAAGAGAAACATAAGAAAGGAAGTTCAGTAAATGGAAGGTTTGGAGAGAGTATGGTGTAAGTGGATTACTAATGAATCTTTGAAATATATCCAATACCCAAGAAAAAACTGCATATCATGTGAATGTCTATAGAAGTCCATGGAATCTCAGGCTGAAATTAATTAAAATGTTGAAGTTCTATAGGTGGGATTTGGGAACCGGTGGGGATGTTTTGGTATGATTTCGTTTAATATTCTACTTGGAATGTGTATACATCTCTATATGACACATGTACCTTCCAAAATGTTTATCTGTTCATCACCACCAGCAAGCACATAGCAACTTCTCTGTGACTTAAGTCAACACCAATTTTCAATTTGGAAATAGAAGTGAAAGCCTGAGACTGGTACCCAGTCAAAGACAACTATGCTTTCAAATATGCAGAGTGGACTATGAGCTAAGAAGCCATTACTCAAAAGCTGTCCCTTTCACTTCTACTGTGTAGAGCCGGTGGAAAAAAAGGAATTAGTCTGACCCATAACTCTTCTATCTCTTCTCCTCTTTAGTGGGATTGGAAGGAACTGGCCCTGGGCCTCAGGAGGCAGCAGCATTCTGGCTGAATTTGGGACCCTGCATTTGGAATTTATGCACTTGAGCCAATTATCAGGAGACCCCATCTTTGCTGAAAAGGTGAGATTCTCCACGACGCCTTGCATTGCAAAGCATCGCTTATGAGAAATAGTATCCTCTGCTGAGAGATTTGATAATATTGGATGTGGAAAAGAACAACCAAGTTTAATATAGCAGCCCTATATGACGTTTTGTTACATGCGCCTTTCCTTTAACCAACTGTGAGCTCACAGTCTTTCCATGCATGATTCTAGCTCAGCATGAGAGCGCCTGGCTTCTATGGCTGATTCCCTACACCTCAATCAAGTCACTTTCTCCGAACTTTTTTTCCTATCTAAAAATATATAAAGCTGTATGGACTATATGAACCAAGTATGTGAAAGGCTTTTTAAACTCAGGGTATTATATGAATGCAAAGTAGCTATTGAATTAATTTCTAATTTTTAAGAAAGAAACATAGATATTTGAATAAATCCGTTTCACCCCACCACGCTGCCCTTAGCTTCCACCCCACGTCTCTGCTCCTCGTTACAGCGGAATCATCCCTTGGAAGAGTTGTCCCTGTTTGTTACCCTCCCTCTCTGTCTCCCACTTTCTTGAATGCTTTCCCGCCCAGCTACTCTCCCATCCACACCTGTCCCGGTGACCAGTGAGTGCCACATTGCCAGACCCAGTCATCATCCTCACCCTGGTCTTCCTCGCCCTCTCAGCGTTTGGTGTGCGTGGTCACTCCCTCTCCCTGAGACGCTCTGCCCGTGGCTTGTCTGCTTCCTTCCTGGGTGCGGCTTCTCATTCTCCTGTCTGGGACCCTCCTCGTCGCACCGACCTCTAAACATTAGAAAACTTCGTTCACCCTGGGCCTCTTCCTTTTGTGCTCACTCCATACATCATTTTGCCCATGGGTTTACATGCTGTCTATCTGCTATTGACTCCAAAGTTATCGTTTCAGTCTCAACCTGTCCCCTGACCTCCAGACTCCAAATCCAAGTACCTATTAAGCATTTCACTGAGGCAGGGCTGGGGAATGTGTTGCCCTCGGGCCGTATGAGGCCCGCAAAATCATTTGGTCTGGTCCTGCCAAGGCGTTAGGGGTGAGTTAATTAAATGTTTGACCAAATACAACAGGCTAATTTTTAAGTTGATCATTTTTTGTGGCCTGCAAATGATGTTATAAATATCCAAATGGCCCTTGGCAGAAAAAGGTCCCCCATCCCTGCAGGGGTCTCCTAGCTCCCCCTTAAAACGTCTCAGACTCAGCCCCCACACCTGCTTCTACTCCAGTCTTCACATCTGGATAACTGAAACCTCAGTTCATCCAGTGGCTCAGACCCAAACTCCAGTGGTCACCCTGGTTCCTCCCTGGTAAACATCAGGTCCAAAGCATCAAGAAACCCTTAGGCTCTGTGCTGTTTCGTCTGCTGCCACCCTGGTGCAGGCACCCATCATCTGTCACCTGGCCTGTGCAGTAGCCCCCTGACTGCCACTCACTCTCTGGCACCCGTCACACCAGGTACACACACATGTCTTCAGTTCTTGCCCCCAGCATAGCAGAAGCCCTCGTGGCCTGCAAGGCCTGCGCCTCCCCTTTGCTTCCTGTCCTCCCAACCCACTCTCTTTTCATGCCTTTTGTCCTTGCTCCTCCCTCTACCCTGGTTGCTCTTCCTCCAATTTCCCCATGGCTTGCTGCTTCATTTCTTCAAATGCCTGCTCAAGTAATCTTCCATCAGCCTCCCCAGCCCGCCCAGCTCACCACTCCGCAGCCTTCTGCCCTATTACCATCCTGTGTTTTCTCCATAGCACTTACTACCACGGGTTATAGTCCTCACACTGCAGATATGATATTTCTTTATGCAAAGTCTTTCTCATCCCACCAGTGTGGACTTTGCTCATCCACTGAAACGTCACTAGTTCCTTGTATGGCATCTGGCATGCGGCAGATCAGTGTGACTGTGTTCACTTGCTGCCTATTATTTTTGTAAGCTGATAGCGACTATCTTTGTTCTAATTCTGCATCATTTAAATCAACCTTCATCAACTTTTTTTTTCTAATATGCAAAACTATTATCAAGAAAGAGAGAAGAATGGCACCAAAATTGTTTTTTGGGTTTTCCCAGTAACATTTTATTTTCTATCGCAGGTAATGAATATTCGGACAGTACTGAATAAACTGGTGAAACCACAAGGCCTTTACCCTAACTATCTGAATCCCAGTAGTGGACAGTGGGGTCAATGTAAGTCAAAAGATTATCACTGTTTGCCCTGTTGGGTGTGTCTCAGTGGTTAGAGCAGCCGTGGGCAAACTACGGCCCGCGGGCCGGATCCGGCCCGTTTGAAATGAATAAAACTAAAAAAAAAAAGACTGTACCCTTTTATGTAATGATGTTTACTTTGAATTTATATTAGTTCACACAAACACTCCATCCATGCTTTTGTTCCGGCCCTCCGGTCCAGTTTAAGAACCCATTGTGGCCCTCGAGTCAAAAAGTTTGCCCACCCCTGGGTTAGAGTGTTGGCCCATGCAAAGAAGGGTCTCGGGTTCGGTTCCCGGTCAAGGGCCATACCTGGGTTGCAGGTTACATCTCCGGCCCGGTTGGGGAGCCTGTAGGAAGAAACCAATCGACGTGTCTCTCATACTGATGTATCTCTCTCCCTCACTTCCCCTCCCTCCCTTCCACTCTCTCTAAAAATGAATGGAAAGGGTACCCTCGGGTGAGGATTAACAACAATGAAAAAAAAGATTAGCATTGCTTTAGCTCTTTATGGTACCCAGCACTGTCCTGGTAACAGAGAGAAAAGGCAGAACGAAGCACAGTATATTTGGGAGAATGTTTAGAAAAGGAGAAAGAAGACCTGGTTCCTTCAATAAATAGGCTTCTGTCACTAGACAGACTGTAAGTGTTACCAGGAAACTAGAGTGTTTATTTTTCATGCAGAACTGTGAGCATGAGGACATATAAGCACATTTAAAGCTATTGATCAGAAAGGGAAGATCTAGTCAGGGTAGTGGGAGGATGTTAGCCTGTAACAAACTACACATGTGGGTGGGGGGCGGGGGAATTGTTCCTTTGTTTTAATGACTAACATCAGGATTTTCTATAGAGTAACTAGATCATTCTACTTCATAACAGCTACTTTCTGCTTGACTACAAGATGAGAGAGGAGCCTGAGTCTTTAAGAGTTGGGAAAATAAAAGAGCAAACAGCATATTTTTTCTACTTAATTTTAAGCCAGCAGGTACAGGTGTCTTGCCAGTAAAGTTCTCTTTAGGGTAGGAGAAAAGTATTGTGCCAGAGCCCTCAGTTGAGATCCTGGCAGACTTTGACCAGCGGTGTAATGATTCAGAGTCGTTGAGAGAAATTTCCTCAAGCGGATTTGGGAAACCAGTGGTAGATGAAGCAGCAACTGAGAGCCAGTGAAGAATACTAAGTGAGATGCCTAGCTGTGCCGAGTGTGTTCAAATGCCTTAAAATTTACTCTAATTTGAGTTTTTTCATTATATTTAAATGCCATATATTCTTAGATGGCTGTGCCTCACTGCTGCTGTAGAATTACTTTGCTTAAAGAATAACTTAGTAGAAAAAAATGCTAAAATCTATGAGTGTTAGTAATGGCTTGGAAAGGCCTAGCTTTTGAGATCATAAAACCATAATCAAGGTTGCCACGTAACCTCAGTGTGGTCCACCAATCACTGGGCATCCCTGAGACCTTTCAGAGAGTCCACAAGGTCAAAGGTGTTTTTATAATAACATTAAGACTGTCTGCCACAGTGCTGACATTTGCACTTAGGTTGCAAAAGTACTGATGGGTGAAACTACTAAAGTGAGAACCATAGCAGAGGCTCCGAATATTCGTCACATTTGAAATCTTCACAGCGAGTTTGAAAAAGAAGGGGGGGTGGGGGAAGCCAGTTTCACTTATGAATGTTCATAATGAAGCAAAAGTAAATTATTGGTTCTAGTACATCTCAGCCATTGAATACACATCTTTGTAATATTCTGTGTGATTAAATCCAAAGTACACTTAAAGCACTTCTGCTGCTTAATAAAGAACAGTGGGTTGCCTCACAGAAAAGCACTTGTGTGATCCTCTGAGTCCTGAGCTGAACTTACTGTTTCACGGTCACCAGTTCTACATGAAAGAACAACAGCAGACAGGCTGGTTTTTCCGAGTTGGGCAATTCGTAGATGTGTTCTTGAAAATGAGCCCGTCCACTTCAAGGAAAACTGGCAGTATCTGTCCCGATGATAACATTTGAACTCTGCATGAACATTAGAATCTTGGGAAACTTGCATATGCCACTAGGAATGAACTCATTGCCTTTAAGCAACACTTGATGACTGTTCTGATGAGATTGGTGGAGACACTAACAAATGTATAATGAAATGTGTCAACATGTAGAAGATCTGCATAATTCAAGTGAGCAATATTTTCCGAATGACCAAAGCATGCTTTTACAAAATCACGTAAAAGATCCATTCAAAGCACAAGGGAGACCAATGGATTTTAATGCAACCGCACAAAAATGCATTGATGTGGTTTCTAATTCTACACTGCAACTTTTAAAACACTCTAACCTTTAAAAAAAACCTACTTGTCCAGTTTTGTTGTAGTATCAAAGAAAAGTATCCACAATAATCTGAAAAGCCTTAAATATTCTTCCCTTTTCCAGCTGTATAACTGTGAGACTGAGTTTTTTCATCTGTTTTAGCCAGGACAACATATAGTATAGGTGGCATGTAGAGCAGATATGAAAATCCACCTGTGTTCTAGAACAGGAAACGTCAAAGAGATTTACAAAAATATGAAATAGTGTCACTCTTCTCACTAATTATTTTTTTAAAAAATATAACATTTTTATGAAAAAAAATTTATAAGGGGTATATTATTATGGCTTTAAATATATTAAGAAAATGTATTAAATTCTATTTTAATTTCCGATATTGTCAATATTGGTAATATTACAGAAACAAGTTTTTTGGAGTGCTTATTCATTTTTGAAAGGGTAAGGGGGTGCTCTGGCCGGTTTCGATCAGTGGTTGGAGCTTCAGCCCACACACCAAAGGGTGGTGGGTTCGATTCCAGGTCAAGGACACATACCTCAGTTGCAGGCTCCATCCTGGCCCGGTAGGGGTGCGAGCTGGAAGCAGTCAATCAGTGTGTCTCTCTCACATCGATCGACGCTTCTGTCTCCTCTTCCCCACCCTCTACTGTATCTGAAAGAAATGGGAAAATATCCTCAGGTGAGGATTTTTTATTAAGTGTAAAGGGGTGCTAAGACCATGAAAAGTTTGAGGGCCACTGGAGTATTTGGATAAAGCAGAACTGGAATAGCTTTCTAAGGACAAAATGGCCAGATGTGATTCTCTAAAAGGACAGGGTTTTTAGAGTTCTCTTTCTCATGAAAATTCAAAAGTTGAAGAAAAATCTGAGGATTTACTGGGGTTTTTTCCCCCCGTGACTTAGGGTTTAGGAGTCACTATGGAAAGGGACAAAAGAGTCCGTTGTACTTGAACATCCTGGCTTCACCTTCTGGGTCACAAATATACTATCTCTTTGGCCATGTTTCCTGGTACAAAGAGCCCTTTATATTTGGATTGCTTATGGGTCAGTTTCCTGGTGGAAAAACAAACAGTGTTGATGAGTCCCCTGTCTCTCCTCCCCGACCCTATCCGGGGTTCCAACCACAAGGAAGACTTATTTTTTTATTCTTCATTCAAGGCCTGCTTGGCCGTGCCCGGATTTGTGCTTGTTCTGTTTCCTTCTGACTCTACCAAGGCCCAGCTCGATTGCCACTTCTTCTGGGAGACCTTGTTCACGACCCCGGTTGGAATTTGTCAGCACCCGTTCCTTCTCTAGTCCCCCCCTTCTTCCTCCTCGTCCCAACACTTCGGGTACTTTCCAGTTACAGGCCTTTTCCTAATGATTTGGATACTTACCCCTCAACCTAGAGACCCAAACTTTTGGGGGCTATGACTTCGTCTTAGTCATATTTGCTAACCCAGCACACGGTATCTTGCTCCAGTAGGTGTTCACTTAACGTGAATTTTGTGGACATTCATGCACTCTGTATCCAAACTGACTATCTTTCTGCCTCTGCTCTTAATAGTGGTTCTATTTATTCTCTTGGAGCAGTTTTCCTTGCTCTTCAGTTGTGACTAAGAGGCAGCATCTGGTCCTGGTCACTAATCATAGAAAGAGATCTGGTGGCTGTTGAGACCAGATGTGGGGCTCCGTAATCAATAAACAATAATTATCACCCTTCTCTGATTAATATAACAACACTAACATACATATAGTGCCACTAGCATCACTGGGGGATTGCTCTGAGGAGAGACATTCAGATTCAGATTGAAGTCAACAAAATTATAAAGAGGCTATTAAGTATTCTTTTTGTCTTCTTCTTTTGCCATTTTCTCTCTCTTTAATTATTAGGAATCCTTTTATGGGACCTATTTCTATTGGGAAGAAAAGGATAAATTACCCCCCTTTAGAGAAGAACATAATAATTGAGTGACAATAGTACACATTACCTTAGAGCATTTGGGAATAAAAATACGACATATGTTCTTTCTAGCAATAGGCGGCCCCTTCCTGCTGGCCAAATCCAGCATGTTCTCTCCTACACCCATGAAGATGTTTACACAGGACCCTGTTGCCAACACAAACAGTCATCCAAAACCAGAGAAAGCTTAGTGAGTGAGATGCTAAAATCTCAAAGGACTTTCTCTCCTCTATTTCTTTTATTTTTATTCTTTCCTAACATGAAAATTTTATAAGCAGGAAATTAAAAAAGTAAAAAATAAACTAGCATTTACTTAAAAATAGTTAAAATACATGTAATAATATGTAATCCTTTTTTTTTAAAATCACCAAATGCCCAAAATTGCTTCTTGCATCTATTATAGAATCATAACCCAAGGAGTTGGGGGGAGGGGGGCTCAAAAAATGAAGCCACTGCTTCTGGCTGTTGGGTTTCAACTCTCATTGCTTTAACTCAGAGGACCCGTCTGGATCATGGCCATCATTTCCTATTGTTTCCTTCAGGCCTTGTTATGTTGACAGGAGCCGGACAGTGACCTGCCTGACCATGCATCACTTGCATTTGTCTCCTGCAATCATGTTTATAACAACAGGGCTCATTATTGATGAGATAGGTCTTCGTCTATTTAATTTTTAAATGTCAGAGGTTTCTGTGGTGATTTATTTAGGAAACTGTAAAGGTCACTTCAAACACTGCTGTTTTAAGAACCAGCTTTACAATTGTAAAAACACTCATTTTACATTAAAATTAAAACTATTATTCTGGACTTTTATAATAAAATCCATATTTAACCACTTAACAGATATAGCCCTTCTAGCGTGAATAGATGTGGTCCCTATTAAGATTGACTTAGAAGTTTTGCTTTGTTCAATTGTTTACTGAGTAGCCACTCAATGCAATTTTCCAAAATAAGTGCATCTTTTTAATGCTCATGTTCTCTATGAGTTCTTCAGTTGTCTGTCTTTGTAGCTAAACATGCTTGAAAAATAAAAGTATAAAGGGCAAAGGGACCCATGTCGTGTTATCTGGTGAAGAGCAAGCAGGTCCACAGGCCAGCCTCTGTATGAGTCAAATCAAATGGGACGAATCAGAAGGTTGTAATCTCATTTAGCGTCTGTGAGGCTCAGGTTTCTCATTTTTAATGAGGGTACCTACCCTACAAGTTGCAAGATTGTTGGTCCTGTATGTAGTGGATCTGGCATAATAAATGGCAGCGGAGGATTGCAGAAATGATGTGTAAGGAAGAGAAGCGCCTGCCACTATCTTCTTTCTTAGCACCCCACCCAAGGTGTTTGATCCTTCTGGTTTTATTGCAAACCACTTTTTTTAAAAGATTTGCTAATACTCATAGCTTTGCCATGGTTTATATTATTGAGCTAAACAAATATTTATTAGAATATATACTGTGAAACATTTTAATTTGGTATTTTTACTAGAGAACCAGATTTTTGGAATTAGGGGGGGATTATATATATTCCTGCTTACAAAATTACCCTGGTAATTATTTAGAGTACATCGCATTAGTTAACAGCACATCTGCTCATTTCAGAATGTCTTTCTGAAAACAAGAGATTTGTTGGAATTTGAATGTAACACTGAGTTGCAGTTGACGTAGAGTTTTGCATCCTAGTAGCTAATGTGATTTTGCTGCATTATCTGAATTAAAGGCTGAATCACTCTAAAATTCATTTCCCTCCCTTACAGATCATGTATCAGTTGGAGGACTCGGAGACAGCTTTTATGAATATTTGCTAAAGGCATGGTTAATGTCTGACAAGACAGATCTGGAAGCTAAGCAGATGTATTTTGATGCTGTTCAGGTAAACCCAATAGTTAAATCATGTTGCCACTCAGCTCTGACTTGTAACTTACTTATTCAATCAAGCTTTAATGAAAAATAATGGAATACTACATAAGTGAGTTACAGATTATTTCCAGTTAGGAACCATCTGCTAGCACAACTATAACAGTAGTCAACATACTTGATGTATGTAGTTCTCAGAGGGCAGTTAACTTTTTTACATAGTTCAAACCTCAGTGAAGGTTTACATATCTGAAAGGAAAATGTTTGCACATCTGAAAAAAAAAAGGATATTTTTGTGCTTGGAGCCCATTACCATTATGGAGAGGAAAAAATCCTGAATTTATATTCTGAAAATTGACTAAGTTAAAATTGCCTACCTAGACATTTGGAATAAACTTATCTCCGGAGGTATGTGGACAGTACTCTCAAATAAAAATCTGAAATCACCCTAATATTACTAACAGTTTTCAGAGGTCCTTTAAAATGGAGGAGGAATGAGAGGGAACAAACCCTTGTTGAATTGCGAACTGTATGCTAAGAAGTAGATACTCTAAAGTACTAGTTTGTTTCCTCATAGTAGTTTAGATGTTATTCACCTGTGTTACAGATTGCATTACTGAACTTCAGGTTGAGTGTGAAATCAAAATTCAGATTAAAATTGTGTCAGCACCTCACCACTATGGATTTATTTGTGAATAGGATTTCTATACTACATGCATATATTTCTTTATGGGCAGTAAGTTAGGGAGGTAAGTCAGAAACTACTTAGCAAAGTCTTTAGGAAGTGGCCAGTGTGAGAGTAAACTAAACCTCAGTCAAAAATGAAAATAAAATTTGAAAGTAAATACAGTAAAGAAAGAAAATTATTTTATATAAAATAACTGAACTTGTACCCAGCTTTTCAGGAAAGAATTTTGTAGCAGAATCAAGTGCACTTCTGATTGTTAAAAGTAGTTTATATGTTTACATATATTTTTTAATATTAATTATTATTAAGACATCTCAAATAATGTTGTAAAATAATGGTGAAGCCATCAAAAAATTGACTGCTTAGAATTCTTTTTTATAATTTAGAATAGTAATTTTTTATATAATTTAGAGTAATAGAGGAGAGAAAAAATGGAAATTTGAAATTCCAAAAATGCAGCCATTGTTCTAAAATTGGTCTCCCTCAGAAGAGGTCTGAGTGGTTTTGATATAGACTGATTTATTTATTTGAATATAAATGCAACTTGCGTTGCTTTGATTGACCAGAGTAAGTGCCACATTGGTCCTCACTCAAGGCCAATAGGGAGCTTCCCTAATAGAGCAGCTACAACTCTGCTATTTCACATATGAGAACAAAAACCCCTTAGCTAGGACCCGGGCCTGCATTTAGCACAGCCTTTATTCAGGCACATGATGGACATCAAAAACCTATCTACTAGGATAGGCCCGCACGGCCTCTTCCAGGTTTCTTTTTCTTCGTTCCTATGAGGTTTAGGTTTTAACCTAGGGAGTTCCTCTCCATACAGTGTGGTTTCCATTGTGTCATTTTTTAATTACTATCCTGGCAGACATTTTAATTATTCTCATCCTTGCCCCCTAAGACCTGCTGTTCCAGGAAGAGCAACTTTAAAATATGCTTTGAAGTATTTTCCCTCAGTTTCTAGAACTGTACCCAAACAGCTTTTAACATACTGTATTTAGACAAACCATTGACAGGAAGGATCCATTAAGAACAATTGAAGTCAAGGTGTTTCTTGTTTCTCTTAATAGTAAAAGCACTTTCAATCCATTGTGCTTTTGACTAAGAAAGCACAGATAGAACACTTAAACTTCTGATTGTGACAAGTAGCCATGTCTTACAGAGCAAAGTTTCTTTGTCTGGTTGTACTTACAGAGATAGATCATTGTTATGGAGAGGGTACCTTGCATTGTTGTTCTGTACAGTTGAGTTGGTAGAGATGTAGTTCATCAGTTTTAGCTGCAAGTTGGTTTTAGAAAGTCTTTAATCCAAGAGTGGTATGGGTTTTTTGTTTTGTTTTGTTTTGTTTTGTTTGTTTGTTTGTTGGGGGGGGTTGTTTTAATAATAAAATACCCTGAACTTTTTATTGGCTATCATGGCCTTCTCTGGAGACCATACTAAGAATCCACAGTGAGAGATGCTCACCCTGTCACAGGGCCATTGGAGTGATCAGTACCTGGGCAGATGCTATATTAGACAATTAGGATTCTACAGGCTTCATCAAACTAATTGTTTCCTAATATAGAAGGATAAAAATCACAAAATATACAATACTCCTTTTTCCTAATTAATTCTCTATAGACTTGACACTACATTTTTTTAGAGCTACTTTTCCATCCTCTGTATTAACTTATATTTGCCAACTGTCATACAAACATTGCTGTGGAGGCCTTGGAACTCAGTTGCCAACTTTATATTGAGAAGTAGCAATTTGGTCAGAATCATGCCAAAAATAATATAGTGCTTTATGCAGGATCCATAACAGGGTAATAATGTTTCTCTAATCCATGCTCAAAAGCTATTGCTCTTGCTATGTAGAAAGAATAATTTCTTGGGTGATGAACAGGCATCTGCTTGAAGGACTTTATTGCAATTTGTGCTCTGAGGAGTGTAAATAGCTAAGATGTTCAGTTGCATTAAGTAAGAATGAAATATTAATGTAATAACTGGGTCATCAATAAAATTAGCTTAACCACAGTAAATGAGCACAGCAGTATGTTTATTTATTTATTACCATCTTAATTTCATTTGTTTGCTTATAATAAAGGTAGAGAAAGTTTTATCTGCCTGTGTATTCATTTTAATTTATTCTTCTCTATCACAAGTTTTATCTGTGTCTACTATTCCCAAATGTGCTTCCTAAAAACCCTTCTTTTTTGATAATAGTATAAAAGGTACAGACACTGTTATAGCCCTAGTCTGCTATGAAGTAATTGTGTGTGGGGGGGGGGGGTACATGTTTTTGTATAAATTTGAGAAGAGATTACAAATGCTGAAAATAAGCGTTATTTTCAGGCAATCGAGACTCACTTGATCCGCAAGTCTAGTAGGGGGCTGACTTACATCGCAGAGTGGAAAGGCGGCCTCCTAGAGCACAAGATGGGCCATCTGACCTGCTTTGCTGGAGGCATGTTTGCTCTGGGGGCAGATGATGCTCCCGAGGGCCTGACCCAGCACTACCTTCAGCTCGGAGCTGAGATTGCCCGTACCTGCCATGAATCTTACAATCGCACATGTGAGTACATGTTATTCTTCATCTACAGTCTATTGCCACATGCTTTTATTTCGTTCAGTAAAGAACTTGGTCATTGTTGCCCTCAAAAGAATATCCACTGTGCCTGATGAAACCTCACAATCATGATTAATATATTAAAGGAATGTATATTTTCAGCTTAAAAAATACTGCTTTGCTACATAAAAATATTTACTCTTAGTTTGCCAAGAAATGGAAATCCAGGCAATAAAACATTAGGCCAGTCTAATTTATTGGCCTTGCTTTAGGTAAATACATTGGGTAAGAGTTTCTGTCTCACTGCTAAAGAGATGTAATATATTTTTGTAAATTATCATTAATCTTTCCAGTGTCTCTATGAATATGATTTTGACTTTGACTCCCTCCTTATAAAATAGGGTTTGAAGCACAAAGATTAAATAACCTTTCATGACATAATGACTTAACAATCCCCAGATTTTCTAGCTAGCTTATAAGGTATTTCCTGGGGCCTTGCACCTATCCACTGGGTGCTCAATAACTGTTGGTTAAATGAAAGAAAATATAGAATCATTACCTTAGATGACTGAATTTAAAAAATATATTAAATAGCCCTGGCCGGTGTGTATCAGTGGTTAGATTATTGGCCCTCAAATCAAAGGGCCACGAGTTCTATTCCCATGTACCTGGGTTGCAAGTTCAATCCTCCACCCCGAGATGGGACATGGGTGGGAGGCAACCAATTGATGTGTATCTCTCATATCAATATTTCTCTTTATCTTGCTCTTCTCCCTGCCCCTCTTCCTTCCTCCCTTCCACTCTCTCTAAAAATCAATGTAAAAACTATCCTTAGGGGAGGATTAACAAAAAAAAATGTATATTGAGTATTATTTACTAGTGCCCCAGTGCACATTGAAAGGAAATTAATTAGAAGGTGGCCAGTGGGGTGGGACTGGGCGGGACAGGCCGGGCACACCCTGGAGCCAACCTCCCATGGTCCCTCCCCAGCCAGCCACACCTGAGGTGACATCACAGCTTAAAGGTCAACTGTGGAGTGAGCGAGGTCCCTCTGGCAGGTGGGGTCGCTCGGCCTGGTCTCCAGATCAGGCCGAAACCGGCTCTCTGACATCCCCCGAGGAGTCCCATATTGTGAGAGGGTAATTCTCGGGTGATGCACCCCGGAATCAGGCTCCCTCCTCTCTGGTTCCGGGTGCATCGCCCAAGAACGGCCACTGCCAAGTCACAGCAGCTCAGCAGCTCCTGCGTTGAGCGTCTGTCCCCTGGTGCTTAGTGCGCATCATAGCTACTGGTCAAAGCGTCTGCCCCCAGGTGGTCATTGCACGTCATAGCTACTGGTCAGATGGTGGCTTAGCCTTTTAGATATAGAGATATGTTTATAACTATTTCTTAAAGTGATTTGTCATTGTTCTTGACTATTGTAAAGTACTTTCTAGTTTTAGTTAAGTGGTAGACACTATGCATTGTTCAAGACAATAACCTTTGTTACCCATTCCATATTCTTTAGTTGTGAAACTGGGACCAGAAGCTTTCAGATTCGATGGTGGTGTTGAAGCCATTGCTACAAGGCAAAATGAAAAATACTACATTCTACGGCCAGAGGTTGTTGAGACTTACATGTACATGTGGCGACTGACTCATGATCCAAAGTACAGGAAATGGGCCTGGGAAGCTGTAGAGGTAAAATTTTAATTTGCTTGTGTTTCATATAGATAAATGTCTCAGGGAAAAAATGTGGCATGTACAGATAAATCTAGCATATCAGCTTTTCTGTAATTGTTAAAGTTTTGACCAGACTTTTTCCATTCAGGACTGAGTGTTTTCATTTAGGTCATCCTGCATATTTGGCTTCAGCTTTTCAGCTTTGCTTAATATAGATAGGTAGATAGATGATAGATAGATAGATAGATAGATAGATGATAGATAGATAGATAGATAGATAGATAGATAGATGATAGATATTGAAGGAGTTATCTAGAAAGGTATATTATAAAATTAAGTTTCCATGACTAGAAGTGATAACCACTTAATTCCACAAAGGGTTATAGGCAACTTGGTGATAGTCACCCCTTGCCTGTTGTCTACTTCAAGAAACACTGTGTGTGTGTGTGTGTGTGTGTGTGTATTCTCTATTAGTCTTTGGGCATTTAAATGATAATACAGTACATACTTTTACTTAGCAGTGATGGCGAACCTATGACACGCGTGTCAGAGGTGACACGTGAACTCATTTTTTTGGTTGATTTTTCTTTGTTAAATGGCATTTAAATATATAAAATAAATATCAAAAATATAAGTCTTTGTTTTACTATGGTTGCAAATATCAAAAAATTTCTATATGTGACACGGCACCAGAGTTAAGTTAGGGTTTTTCAAAATGCTGACACGCCAAGCTCAAAAGGTTGGCCATCACTGACTTAGAGTAAATTAGCTACTTAGTTTTAGAAATAACCTGTAGAAGAACAACTTTCTGCAAGTTCAGATTTCTCTGAATGTCGATAAGCTTTCCATCTGTCCAGTGTGCTGATTTAATTCTTTGCCATCTCTTGGGTCTCTTCCTGCCGAATATGGCATATCATCTTCCTAAACTAAACTATTGTGTGTGGATGCCAGCGGAGGCACCCTCCGGAGTGTGCATCAAACAATGTCTAATTTTAAGAGCTCTTATTCTGAAAGGACTGGGAGGGAATTCAGGGAATGAGAACAAGCAAAGGCTTTAATTACACTTTCTTATTCTCCACACTCTTTCTTAGAAAGTTTGCTGTCTTTAAAAACAGTCCATTAGGAGCAACTTCTCTCAGGAAATCTTAGATGAATATTGCCTTAGTGTGAAATTTAATATCTCAGGAAGCCGTTGAATCTTGCTTATCACCCTGTTCATTTAGTGTCTGTCTTATCACTAGTCATCACTCATTTTAAGTAATAGCGATTCTTTAGGCCTTTTTAAATATTTTTTTTGCAGTTTTCTAATTATATTTAGTCAGTGGTAATTTCAATTTCTTTAGACATATTTTCTCTGAAAAATGTATTTAAATTACATTTCATCTAAGCTTTGTTGATAGGGAATTATTTTGGTCTTCAATAAGCCAGCAAAGGAATTAAGGCTAGCACTCACCTTAGAAATATCAGTTTAAATTAAAAATAGCAGGAATTATGTTTTTCATCAAATCTAAAACACCATTATTTTATGTACTACTAAGAAAGTACAGCCCTACCAATTAAATTGTGACACAACAATTTTGGAGATGTTAAAATGCGAAAAATGTATGACAGAGACTTGCTCAAAAATGGAAGGTTACTAAATCTCTATTGCCATATGGGCAGGAAGCTATGATTTGCTTGTTCTTCGGTGGAGTTTGTTGGTGAAGGAAGAAGGTTGATGTGAGGTGTTAGGAATTTTGCCTGTTGCCCCCTCTTAGTGTAGGATATGATGTGAAATTGTTTCATTGCGTCCCAGTGCAGGGATCCTCCTGTTTTTGCCCCTAGTAACTTCTGCTGGGACTTGAGACGCAGTGGGGATGGGGGAGCGCTGGGGGCGCTTGCCTTTTCTAAAGCACAGAAATAGAGTAGGCAATACTTACTTCACTGTCGCATGCCCTCGGCCCCTTGTGTTGGTGTTACAGCTGCGATGGGGGATGCCCGTGTGCTGGCAGCATTGCCCAGCTGTCCCCAGGCAGCTGGCCCTGGTCTGGGAAGTGGGGGAGAGTTCCTGGTCCCAGGGGCAGCCCTCCCCAGTGAGATACTGGAGTGGGTGGGTGGCTTTCCCAGTCTTCCTTCTTCAGAGAATAGTTCTGAGATGTGTTCTGCATGGTTCCTTGGAGGTGCAGGCGGGAGGAGGCCCTGGTTGCACACAGCGCGTTTCACTGGCTCCTCTCACTTCCCTGTTTCACTCTCCCCACTTCCTGATATCACCTCCCCCCAAATTTCCTGCATCCAACCCATGACTCATGCTCTGTTTGTAGGGGAACCCAAACTAAAACATAGGGGCCCTTGGAAATCACCAAGTCCAGATTCCACGCAAAGGAAAGACTCCTCTGCCAATCTTCGCAGGTGGCTATTCCTCATCAATTCAAGGACTTTGTAGCGAAAAGGAATATGCTACTAATAACGTGATTCGTGTCATTTTTTTTTAATGACCAGAAGTATTAGGAAGTTACTCCTTTTAAAACCAGAATTTACAGTTCTGTGCTTTTGAAAGAAGAATCTCTCTCTTGTACATTTCAGCTCCTCAGTTATCTGAAGACAGCACTTCCTGCCAGCTGTTCCTCCCGCCTCCCCCCTTTTCCTCCACCTTCTCCTGACATGTCCCAGGGGTGTTCTTGCAGGGCTGAGCACTGTGACTCAGGAGCCTCTCTCCTGAGGGCTAATTCCTACAGCCTGTGGTCAACTTGTTCCTTTAATAGATTTAGAAAACTCCTGGCTTACATGGAAACTATGGTCGAATGTTAACGACTACATTGACGACTATTGAGGCATCTCTTTAATGTCATGAAGAACTACATTAAATTCCTTCTAATTAGACATGTATAATTAATATTCTGATAAAGCTCTTACGATAAGTTATACCTATACATTCATACATGTGTAGGTAAATATGGATTATATAATGTCTATAGATGTAGGTATGTGTAGATTATATCATGTCTCCACTGGGCTAGAGTTGTGGATAAGCCTTACGTAGGAATGTTCATTTCTTTATTTGCACACACATTTTTCTCCAGTTCCCTGAATCTAATCTTTTACACATGGGCATCTTGGCTCTCAGAGAATGATTTGTCTTCCCAGTGTCTGCTTCTGCCTGCCCAGGCTTGATCCCTGTTCTGAGACTCTTTGGTGTGTCTGTTTTGCCTGGTTCTCAGACCAAACTCAACAAGTGAGCCTTATTATTAGCGTTGTTCTCTGGGGTCCACTCTTGGAAATCTCCGTTGATCAGCTGTTTTTCTAACCTGGTAGATAAGACAAGGCTTCTCTGTTCTTACAGTGATGCTTTCCGGCTTAGGACTTAACTCATGCTGCTCACTATTCTTTTACCTGCTCCCCCCTAAAAAGGTACAGTCGCTTGCAGTCAGGTTTGTGTTTCTTCTTTTGTTTTAGAGCTCTAGTCGGTGTAAACATTCTCCTGTCCTCCTTTTCTTTGCTATTAGCAAGTCCCCTTCACATATGGTCACTAATAAGTAATGTAAACATTTACTAAAACTGAGGTAGTCCCTATGCCCAGAGACTGATCCAAAGAACAGACTGCAGTAAAATGATGCTCTGATCAGACTCTACTGTGTAGATACATCCTTCCACTGTTGAGGTTCTGTAAGATCAGAGTCTGTTATGGGGGCTCAAGAGAGCTGCTTGTCCCTAGATTTACACATCTAAAGTCTTAAAATTTAGACTTGACATGAAGGTTTTTCTTTTTATTTAAAATGCATCTTTAGCATTTTTTTATTTATTTACCAAAAGCCTAAAAAAATAAAATTAAATAAGCTAGGCCTCTCTGGACCTCTAACAGGGCCCTGTACTGTGTTGACTGTGTCTCTATCTTGTTTTATTGTCACAACAACCCCATGTGGACCACAGGAACACTGCCTGGGTCCAGGGACCTCTGAGGCCACAGTTAGCAAGTCCAGAGCTGGGACACGACTCCCTCCTCTAAAACTTTAGGTTGTGTTCTTAACTACTATGGCTCTCCACACTAGGACTATGGGAGAGAAAGGACAACTGGGGTGAACTGAAAAGAGGAAAAACTTTGGACATCGCCAGCCCCAAAGCAAAAAATGATTGCGCTTATAGAAATCTCTATGGGAGGGAGAACGGCCTGACACTCTCATTAGCTCATCGCCAAAGAACTTCCAGAGAAAAACCAAGAAAAAACTTTGTGGTTAAATCTTATTAGGAAATAAGATTTCATTATGTTCCATAATAATGAACTTACTCATTTCTTCTAAATCTGGATCTTTTTCTTTTTACAAACAATTTTTAACCTCCATTTTATCTGGTATTTAACTTTTTATCAAAAGGAACTTTGATCAGAAAAGGAAGGAAGGAAAAAAATAATTGGACCTGAAAGTCCCTTTCTGTAGGCTTTTGCGCTCTTGGTTCATTGTGTGCAACGAAGAATATAATCAAAGCATTTCATTTTTGAAGTTGATCTTATTTTCCCGGGGGCTTTTAAAAAGTACCAATCATGAGACATTTTCTTTATGCATGGAGCCTGCCAGTTAGATTTTCTTTAACCTGGTAATTAAATGCTCTATGTCTTCTGCCCTCCAGCCCTGGTGTGCCAAGTCAATGTCCTCATTGCCAGCATCTGCAGAGGGGAGCTGAGCCCTCAGCGCCACATCCCTGCTCACGGGATTCACCTTCTCTCTCCCCTCTTTTCTGGTCTCTGCATTCTTAGAGCCATGTTTTCCTCCAAAATCTTTTTCTAGCCAATAACGATCTTTCTCTCAACTAGTATCTCAATTATGTTCTCCATCTTTTTTTGCTAGGTTGGCTGAATGGGAGAAAAATGGAGTATAATTATACACATTTTAAAAAGAGGGACAGGGTTATATTTCATAAGAGAAAACTGAAAAATAAATTTAAGATGACATGAATTAGAACCAGATTTCAGATGGCAATTTTGATGTGACTTATAGTATAGTTAATAAGAGTAATAGGATATGGTGAGTAGGAAATAACTTCTTTAGAACTGACTAGGCCTGTTAACTAACAAAGCAGCCAATGTAATTTCAAAATACAAGGACTAGTCAACTTAGTGACAGCTGACAATGTAGAAGGCAAGTTATTTTAGGTTGTTTCCTAAATTTTCTTTCCAACCCTGCCCATCCCATCTCTCTTATCCAAATACTCATTATAGTCAGACAGCTACAGGAATGTAGGGTCCTTTCTCCCTAGATAGTTACCAGTGGATTCATCCCATCTTCTTCCATCCCAGACCAAAGAAAAGAAAAATGTGCTTTAGAAATAGATACCAACCACATTTTTCCCACTGCTTTCCGTTTTCCACTTTTATCTCTTTCACCAGGACCACTAATTAGTACTCCACAATTGATTTTTAAGCAATGAGATGTTCTGCTTATTGTAGCAGCTGTTTTTGGTCCAGCATACTTTTTTCACCAGGGGTTTATAGTCCCATTTGATATAAATAATCTTTCTAGACCAGGAGTCAGCAACTGTTTTCTGTAAGGGCTGGAGAGAATTAGGTTTGGGGGCCATACCCAACTACTCAACTGTCACTGTAGCGAAGAAATAGCCACAGACAGCATGTGAGTATAGCTGTGGCTCAATAACCCTTCATTTACCAAAACAGACAGCAGATGGGATTTAGCCTGTGGTCCATAGTGTGATGAACCCTGCTCTAGATTATATTAGGAAATGGTAAATATGACTGAAAATTTATTCCAAAAGTCAATGTGGAAGTGTTTCTAATTAGGTGAGAAGATATATTGTCCATACGTCCTTTAACTTTTCATGCTTTATTTGTATTTACATTGGATAGGGTTTGTTTGTTTGTTTTAATTTCCAGCTAAAGCTGTACCAATCTAGCAATTCAATTTGGATCCTTATTTTATTTGAATTTGACAATCTAGTGATAAAAATTAGTGACAATCGGTTGCCTGACTCGCGACCATTTTTTTCCATCTTCTTGGTCATCCAGGCTCTGGAGACTCACTGCAGGGTGAGCGGGGGCTACTCGGGCCTCAGGGATGTTTACCTCAAACATGACAGCTACGATGATGTGCAACAGAGCTTCTTCCTGGCGGAGACACTAAAGTGAGTAAAAATCATCCGAAAGGATGTGGCCGAGGGAGCTGGGCAGACCTCTGTCCATGTCTTTATCATGAGCACATTCAGGCACTGTCACGCATGGCTGCCTCTGAATGCCATTCTACGCGCATGGCGATGGTTGCAGGTTTGTTCCCGGTCATCGTGTGAGTGTGCTGACTCGGGCCTGCTTTCACGGTTCTGGTACTCTAGGATCAAAGCCCAGAGCAGCTTCTTCACTCTGCATTAATGTGTGTATTCCCTCAACGCTTTGCTATACTTGATTCTCCCTATTTCTCCCTCGGATGAATGGAGACACCGATGTGGTTTGGGCTGTGCCTTTGTGGTTTTATACACTCGTGTTTCTCCCTCTAGATATTTGTACTTAATATTTTCTGACGACGATCTACTTCCCCTGGAACATTGGATCTTCAATACTGAGGCCCATCTTCTCCCTAAACTCTGCACTAATGAAAAAGAAGTGGAAGTCACTGGATAATGACAAGACATGTTACATTTTACTCTGCTCATTCCCATCACTGCATACCTTAATAGTTCCTCTTCCGGTATCCAGGCCCATGATGAATTTTATTAGTAGGTCTGTGATTATTCTCAGTTCTAAAATTGTTTTGCAGTCTTTTATGTTTTTTCTCATAGGCTTAAATGGGACGCAAATTCCTTATCATATCCTTTAGTATTCAGTCAGTAGATCACAGATTTTCTTATTTCACATAATCTGTTCTCTCTGGAATTCATAAAGGTGTAGTATCATTTTTATTAGACCGAATAAAATGGTATACCAGTGACCTCTTAATTACAATTTTGATTTGACTGCAAAACTTTTTCCTCCTCTATGAGGAGATAGTGTCTGCTTTAAGCTGTAATGTTTTGCCATGTTGCAAAAAGCCATAATAATAAATTAAATAATAAAAAAAGCTTTTTCCTTTTTAATTTCATGTGAATATGGTTTGTCTATCCACCAGAGACAGATCTTATAACTGTGACAGCCTCCGTATGCGGGTCTATCATTATTTGATAGAATGTCTTCTAAAATACTTTACCTACAATTTAATTCAAAATAGAATGCCATTCCAAAAAGATCATCTCATGTTGACCTCATTTCATTGGAACCACAGTATATTTCTGTTGGTGAATTATGTTAGTGTTTCCTAATTTGTGAATTAATTTTCAAATTTTACTTGAAATGTCCTGTGTCATTTCTGGATCATGTGCTGGTTAATTTCTTCCATTCCTCACCACACAGCAAAATGAGCTTGCAAGTTTGGCAGATCTCTGCTATTGCTCAATTATGTTTTTTAAAGGGAAATAGCATCACTCTTAGTGTGTTAGCTTTCGCTTTTTACTGAACATATGAAGAATCGGGTATCTCTAAAGAGAGGATGAATATTTCAAATGATTTTGCATTTGCATTTCATCTTTAACTTTTTTTTCCCCTTGAAGTAAAGAAAACATTACATGTGGCTCAGATTTTTCAGATTTAACAAGGGCCCTTTCTCAAATATAAGAAATTATTTCATTTCAGTTAATGAAAGCAGAATTAACTCTGAAAGAAGCTTTACCAATGTATTTATTCATGGTCAATTGAGAAAAATCTAATAAACTTTTAGGTCAAATAAGAATATAGTCTACTTTGGTTAAATTCAATATAGATGTCCCAGCTTGGAAAGAATATGTAGGAATGGATGCTCCCAATCCCCCACAATCCAATAGCAGATCAAAATAATGATATGGTTCTTCAAAGCATTGTGTTGAGATATGAGTGCTTTTCCCAAGAATAGATTTGGTGATACCTTGTGTTTTCTTATCATATTGGATCATATTATATATATATGACCCCAAGAGCTAATATGGTGATGTATATTCTGAGGTACAAAGACTTTAACCACCTGCTTTCTCCACCTACAGTGGTCAGATAGATCAGTGCAACCCCATGCATTAAGCTGAAGCATATGAAGTTGCTGCATTTGTAGTTTAAAAACTATCCAATGTCAACAATTTCATATGGTTCAACCTAATATTTTTAAGACAGTTATCTTCTTGGATCTCCATAGACTTAATTGTTTTAGGTCTTTCAGCTTTTAAAGGTGTTTCAAAATATTTCTTTTGTCTGAAAGGACCACTTTGTGTGACCTGCTCTTTTTTTCTATATTGTACATTGGTATACAAAGAATAAATTAATAAAATTAGTAAATTAAAAATTTATTAAATCATTATTAGTCATTACTTTAATAAATCATTATTGCCAAGTCAGTGTGTTTTGAGTCCCAGAATATCTTCCACTCATATGTCTGCTCACCTTATGAAATGAATGGATAGTGAGAGTTCTTTTGTCCCAGAACATAAAGGCAAACTATAAAAGATTATTGCAAAAACCAGGCCATATGTATTTAGATTATAATTTTCACATAAACATCCTTGGGCTAACAATTTAAGTTACCTTCTTTTCTTTGCATTTAAATTTGATTTGAAAGAGCACAGAGCTGGTATGTATTTCTGCAGCAGGTAGGATTTTAATATCAGGTTTATGTACACCCTGCACTATAATGTACCTTTTGTATCCTGGTATAAGTAGGCCAAAAGATTATACTAGACATTGTTCTGCCAATGGCAAAAATAAAGTGTTTTCAATTCTAGAACTTGGATTTTTTTAACATAAGTCCCAAAACAACAAAAATGTAAAGAAGAGATTAATATTATAGTGATGTAATTTAACTAAAGTTATATTTTGTGTTAATTATTTTAAACAACTGATGTCTTTAGGTAGACACTGTCTTTCATTCATTTGCAGCAATTTCACCTAAAAGGCAAATAATTAAAATAGTACTTAATTCTCTGTATGTGTTTTTGCTATACTTTGTGCAATTAATATTACACATAAAAATTGTGTGGCGATTTTCAGGACTCGATGTTTGATATAATTCCTTCATCTGTGTTGTCCATCCTTTACAATGATTGTTTTTGATTTGTGCATAAATCCATTCTGTCATTTCCAACTTTATATAAATCTTTAATGTTATGGGAAACATAATAGATTGACACATAATTTTTAAAAACTATATTTGTAAAATTTCTCTATTGTGAATAAAGCCTTTTAATATATCTCCTCCTTTGTTATGTTTTTCTCCTTTTAAGTAAGTTTTTGAATATATGTAGGGGTGAGTGTGTAGAGTTGCAAATAAAGACATTAGATCTGAGTAGTGGTTTCATACCACACCCAGAGTATCCTGACAAGGAAACATTTTCTATTAAAAACTTTAACTTGCAAATAATTTTGCATGCATGGCCTTTGGTTAAACAAATACCTTTATTAAGAATCTAACATGTTCAACACCAGGGCCTGTAGGGTGGAGGGGGGGGAGTTGGTGTCAGAAATAGCATGAAGTATGATCGTTGTGCTTACGTTTACATTCTCGCCGTACCACTGAAACAAAACAAAGCAGCATTTAGTGTGAAATGACAAGTGAAATTCTGTTCAGGGAGCAGGCCACTAGGATTTGACCTGCCCCTCCTTTTGGGGCTTGACCGGGTTCTGGGGACACCAGGGACTCATCCCTGTGTCTGTGCCTGTCTCCCGCCCCCTTCCCCCCACCCCTCCACCCCCCCCCCACTCCCACCTCCCAGGGTTCCTCTGCAGTGACAGTGCAGTGGGCACACCAGGGCAGGCTGCTTGGTGGGAAGTGCAGTTAACTTGGCTCAGGGACTCCTAGGCTTGCCCAGCCCCAGGCTGTATGATGATGTGGGGCTGGTGGGGGTGGGGGGGGTGGGGGGGCCTCCAAAGCCCCGCCCTTACCTTCCAGGCCTTTCCCCTAAGTCCAGCCTGGGGCTCCCCTTCCTGAAGCACCCAGGTTGATAGTCAAAGAAGCTTCGTAGAAAAGAGAGAACTTAAGCTGCAGGAGAGCCTCCAATATTTTTTAAAAAGCCTGGGTTTTTCAAATTCATGTTCCACTTACTAGAATGTTTTAGACATTTTGGGTTTTGTTCTTGCTGCCTGGAACTCTTTCCTCACTGGCTCATCCCTCGCTTCCTGTGGGTGTCTGCTCAATGGCACCGCATCAGAGTGGCTGTTTTGACAAATCAATATAAGATTCCCCATCACCCTGAGTCCCTTGGTCTTACTGTATTTCCTGCTTAGCATTTGTTAGGTTACATATTCATTTCCTTGTATGTCTATTGTCTTTCTGACCCCTTAGAACAGTGGTTCTCAACCTTCCTAATGCCGCGACCCTTTAATACAGTTCCTCATGTTGTGGTGACCCCCAACCATAAAATTATTTTCGTTGCTACTTCATAACTGTAATTTTGCTACTGTTGTGAATCGTAATGTAAATATCTGACATGCAGGATGTATTTTCATTGTTACAAATTGAACATAATTAAAGCATAGTGATTAATCACAAAAAACAGTATGTAATTATACGTGTGTTTCCCGATGGTCTTAGGTGACCCCGGTGAAAGGGTCATTTGAGCCCCAAAGGGGTCATGACCCACAGGTTGAGAACTGCTGCCTTAGAATGTAAGCCTCATGAGAACAGAAGTTACTTGTTTTGGTGCCTTCCTCTCCGATCTGCATCTCCGGTGCCTGAAGGAGCGTCTAGCAATTGGCAGCCCACAGGGAATGTTTGGTGAACAGTTAATGCATGAATGAATGAATGGGGTTCGTAGGGTTTGCTACAGCTATTTGCAAATGTCTTTTAATAAGCTGTACATTTTTAAAGTATTACATGCCAGAATTGCATAACATGCTGTTTTAAATAGATAATTATAAGAAGGGGCAATTTCTTTCATTGCTACTTGCAGTCGTTTTAAGGAAATACAGAGTAAATTGTGGTTGTGACTGAAATTAACTAAAAAAAAAAACAGATTTTTAAAAATCACTTTTTATCACATATGGCCCTATGTGAAACACCTACCAAAGAAATGTAAGTCGTGATTTCTCCAATATAGTGTTTTCAGTGTTACTATTTGAGTAGCCTACTACACTGTATTGTTTTCTGACTTAATCTCACAGTCCTGTGTCATATATTTTTTTAAAAAAATGCTTTCTACAACATCAAGCAAAAGAATTGGTTTTTCATTTAAAATACAGCTAGTCAAATGAGAACCTTCTGAATTCAATTACTTGTAACGTAGAGGATATTGGTTATGTTTACTCTGTTGGTGACCAAATTATTAAACAGTTTCTAAACATAATTTTTATTTATACTAATCGTCAACCATCCACACAGAAGTTGCAGCCTGGCAATCAATACATCCAATTTCTGATAATTACATGTAGAGAATTCCTTAAATTTTTAAGAAAACAAGAGAAACTTTTTCATTGAAGGGTAAAATTCATATATCTAATCGCCATTCCAGTTCGGTAGGTTGTGGCTGAAATGTGAGGGTGGGGAAAGGAATCTTATTTAATTTTGATTTAATGGCCCAGAGACTGATTTCTGTTTTTCCTGGCTTATTCCATTCACACTGGCCAACACATGAGTCATAATATTCAAGAACTATCTGCCAAGCATCAGATACGCATATAAAGTCTTAGAACTGCATCAGAGTCTAGACGGCATTCAGTCCAACTCTTATTTTAAACATAAGGACACGGGAATTTCCCAAGGTCAGGAACTGTTTTTTATCCTGGCTCTATGCTCCCAGGCACAGTGATTTGGTAAGATTTATGCTAATAAAAGTTAAAAACAACATACGGGAGCACATGTCCTATCCAACCACTCTAAAATAAAGGTGTAAATTGAGAGTGTACCCTTGGAAACTGATCTAAGGCCATATTTTTCAAGGTGTGGGCTCCAGTTTATATCAGAACCTCTAGTAAGTCTTGTTAAAATGCACGTTCCAGAGCATACCCCAAATTTAGCAAATCAAAATTGTGGTGGGCCCTGGAATCACTGGAGTGGAGAACCACAATTTCAAGTTATAGGGGGTGGAAGTCCCAGGATAGCAGAAGAAATAATGAATTAATTAGCAAGTGATGAGAAGTCCATGGACCTCCTTACTGTATTTTTGTTTCTACTTCCAGGTTTAAGCAGAACAACAACTTGAAACATAATTTGGATCACTTTGGAAATGTGGATTCATTCTTTTACAAAAGTATCTCTGAGCAATAAGCCATATAATCTACATCTTTTAGAAACAGATTCACATTGGATTTTTAAACATAAGTCCTTCTTATTGAGAAAACTCAAAAGTATTAACTTCAATCATCCCTCTTTTTATTCAGTGACTGTCTCATTTACTTTCTTCTCCCAGTAGCTGCTTTTAAAGTTAATTCTCAAACTGTTTCTTCTGTTCTTGTTGAATTTTGACAAGATTTGTCACTTGCACAGGCTACATAGGTAGGCTGTGTGTCGTATAAATATGTAAGATATTCTTGGAAATGACCTTTGAAAAGCACCTTCATTTCTGTCCCCTGTCCCCTGTGTTTTTGCATTCATTGTGTGCAATTGTCAGACATTGGTTGGTTGCCATTATTATGATCACTTTGAATCTCCTTAAAACATGCCATTAGTTACTGAATAAATTAACGTAAATTAGTGTCACAGATCCATTTAATTCCCCAGTGCATGCAAATTACCATGAAAGCTTAGAAAGCAGTCATAGATATATAGCACTTTTAAAAACTGTTCCACAGACTGGGATGTTTTGGCCTTAGGCTACAAGCCCATATTAATTCATAATTTTATAAACAAGGCCTCAACATGCACTGCTTTTCAAATCATGTTTTTCAAAACGACTGGCACCTGAGAGTATTTTGTTTTGCTTTGCTTTTAATTCTCTTAGGGGAAAGAAGTAAATGACCCTAATTCACAAAATCTTGGGAAGTTTGTTCTTGACTTTCTGACTGTCTTGGAGTTCTTTGTGGAAAGTAGAAACGGGCTTAGAATCATCTCCTAGAACTGGGATGGGAGGCCACACAATGTCAACTTCTCAACGCAGGCTCAGTGCTGTGGGTCCCTCTCCATAGACATGGCCACTTGCTTATTGTGACTCCACTTAGTAAACACCAGAGAACAAGCTGGGTCTCTCCCTTCTGTGTGGAAAATGTCATCACCACTCTGGCATTCAGTACAACACTTCCCCTCACCAGTTACATAAACCCTGAGTACCTTTCACAGCTATTCACACTTTCGGCCTGCTAGTCCCAAACCGGTAACTTTGTGACTTAGTCTCAGCCAGGCGCTGCAAAATTATATATACATTTTAAATGCCGCCATTATAATAAATGACGGCCCTCTGGTCTCCTTACCTGGTGCGGAATAGAAGGGGTAGAAAGTGTAGATGCATTTGGACCTGTACTTTGGTAAGGACCTATATATATTTGGATTTATGGTAAGCACACTTCACTAGGAATCAAGACAACTGAGGTCCAAACTTAGCTCTGTTATGAACTTGCTGTGTGATTCGGAACAAGCCCTCCAGTCTTCACATCTCGGTTTCTTCATCTGAAAATAGGGAGGAGCAAGTAGTCCAGAGGCAGCCGCTGGGCTCTGCCCTGAAGGATGTCTGTGTGGGGACCTGGAGCAGGAACCAGCAGTACCCAAACCAGGAGTTTCCCGTCCATGGACTAGGGACCACCACACCTGAATTACAAGACTTCAGACCTTAGTTTCCTCATCTGTGAAGTGGGACCAATAATACCCACTTCCTGAGGATGAAAATTGCTCTTGTAGGTGAACGTTCTTAGCTCTCTACCTGGCAGGATCGGGCCCTCAACCCTGAATTCCAGGCCCTGATTGCAGCTCTTACATCCTGGGCTGGAAGCCTCGCTGCTCCACGTTGGCAAGCCGCCAGCGTGTTCTGCTAGGGCAACACGTGTGCGATTATTTCGCTTGCTGGTTCCAACTGCCGCCGGGTTTTGGAGGCCGCCCTCCCGGCAGGCTGCTGCAAGCACATGCTCCTGCTCATCTTCCAAGGTCAGAGTTAGCGCTTGCTTTCTGACATGAGAAGACAGAAATACTCTGCTCTGTCTTCGCACCTGAATTGTGCACTAATGGAAGACGTTTTCACTTTTTTTTTTCTCTCTTTCTTTTTCTGAAGAACAGGTTTTCCTTTCGCATTTGTAGAAGAAGTAAAGATCAACCTGCCTGGTGGTTGCACTGG